GCTACCCATGCACTGGTATTGAGCCACACCAACGGGGCCATTGGCCACGTCACGTTTTAGATGAACGCACCCCAATACGCCACACCACACCTTGCAGGCATTTCACAGATGTCTGCTTCCCTACTGGTTCCCAATACGCCAGCATCTCCCGGCCTAAACTTCATCTCCTTTCAGCCCACAGAAGCAGGAAAATGGCTGATATGTTTGCTGGATTACGGCTTCGTTAACAACGAGAACCAAAGTTTAGGAATTGCAGGCTTCACACCGGGCAGAAGGAATAACTCAAGGTTCTAAAATGTAAAGTAAACTTTATTATCCTTGAACCACAAAATAGATTTCTTTGGTTGTACAAATGTCACTAGTTACAGTCTTGATGCGCTAATTAATTTTCCCTCAGAGTCTCTCAGGAGAGAAGGGGAGAGAACCCAGAGCCTGGCAGCGGGTACCAAAAAGGGAAAGAAGAAAGAATCACGTTAGTCACCAAAACAAATCCGAGATCGCTTCCAAAACTGCTCTTGTTAAAAAGCATACGCTAAAATTAGACTTTAAAAAAGGAAAAGCTCCAATTGCTGATGATGGAAGCAGCCGTAGCTGCAGCTTGTTATTCCGAGTTCCCCCTTCAGAGCCCTACCAAATTAAACCACGTGGAGTCAGTACAAATGAGTTTGGCATGAAGGGAGATGCTCGACCATAAAAAAAATGCATCCAGTCACTCAGCAAATGCATAAGCAGACGTGCCTGCTGCTCCCAAGCCACGTCCCAGGTAAGGTTCAGCCCTGGCCTTACTGCTGGAGTTCAGCAGAGAGCACCAATGGATCTGGATGGACAGATCAATGACTGCTGAACTCTGACGCCTTTCTCTGTATTGGAGGCTTTAACAAAAGAAAACCCAACGAAAACAAACCAAACAAAATCCATTAAAAAAAAAAAAAAAAAAGGAACAGGGATGTTTTATTTCAGTAGTGGGCAGTAGAACAGCAGAGACTGATTTCAGAGCCGTGAGCAGCATCAGCCTCCTCCATGTCTGTAGAGCACACTGGATGCAAACTGTCCACGGCCACTGTTCCATGTGCGGCAACCAGGAATCACACCCAAGTCCCTTTTTCATTTTTCTTTTTTCCTCTTGCTTGGACAAGCAAGTGTTTGCCCTGTCCTATGCAGACAGCGGCCTGAAGTCGACACGCAGGCACACAGCAGCACCGTGCGCTTACTGCAGGTTGTGCTGTGCTCCCTGCCTGGCAGGCAGTCACTCCTTCAGACCCCGCAGGCACCCTCACAACATCGCCTATCATCTCACAGCCAGTGGGACTCACCCACCAGTCCCCTACCTGTAAGACCCCGTTAGTCCTAACCTGACCCAGCAATGCCACTTCCTACCCTTCCCCGTTCCCTGAATCCTAACCCCTACCTTATTTGCTGTTTACACCTCCTACCTCTGCCGCCGTATTCCTAACCCCTCGCTATTCTGCTTGCTATTGCTGCCATGCACTCACATTGCTATTGCTCCTTCTACAGCTTTTCAACTCCTTTCTCATTTCTGCCCCAGCGCACCCATTCAGCTGTGATGTGGACAGCAGACAGACACCTGTCTGACACCCAGCACCGTGCACAGTGGTACACGCTACATGCACAGTGTGTCTGGGGTAGATTCCTGTCTCCCAAAACAGTACAGCACTGCAGGCAGGAGCAGCTCCCTGCACGGGACAGGTGCTGCGCTCACAGAGGCAATGGAATGGAGCTGATGCTTCCTGGAGCTGGCACAGGCTCCGGCTCATTCAGTCTTCTTTTGAGCACACAGGTGTCAGTGTTAGAGGGAGGCACTTCACTAAAATTCCTTTTTTGTTTTTCTTTTTCTTTTTTTGCCTCCAAGCTTCCACACGCTCCCAAAAGAAAGTGAGGTGACAGCGTGGGAGGGTGGAAGAAGATGCTTCTTGGCAAAAGACTGGAAATTAAATAGGAGTGAAGGCTGGAACTTCCTTCTCATTCAGACCAGAGTAGAAGCTCTCATATTAACCATTAAACAAAAGACCCAAGTTGAGGAAATAACAGCTGGAGCCCAACACACTCACACTCTATGTTCTCCCTGTCCTACCGTGGCCCCCCCCCCCCCCCCCAAATTAAGGGGAAAAAAAAGCAGCTGCCCACTGTCCTACCCACGCTTCCTCTTGGTTACCATCCATCAGTCCCGTGCCATCCCACGTGGGGTCAGGACGTGCCCCAGTGCTCTACCGGGTGAGAAAATAGGGCGGTTCACAGCCTTAAGGAAGTCGGTTGACCGCAACGCTCCTGGGGTGCTCAGTTCCCCCCGGAGCCCAGGAGGCAGCGCTATGGGCAGTCTGGTGCTGCTCCTGGAGCACGGGAAGTTCAGGAGCCCCGTGTCGGGCCGTCCCAAAGCCCAGGAGCTTTGGATTGCCTACGTTGGGACGGCGGCCTCCAGGCTGCGCCGGCTGTGCCGCAGTTTGCGTTTGCTGCTGTACAGAGCCATCTCTTCAAGTGCAGATGCGGTTGGCGTTGATGAATCACGTGTTAATAGCATTTCCTCCTCCTCTGGCTGTCCGTCTTGCTCCTGAGGAACTGCGTAGATAAGAGAAGTAACAGATTTAGGAGGAGGCGCTCGATTTAAGCACTGAGATGGTTAACGATGACACGAGGGTGCCCTGCATGCTGAGATGTAAATCACAGCAATGCCATGCCCAGAACCTTTAGGTGATATGTACCTGAAGTGCTATTAGTTTCTGGGAAGGAAGTGGCACTCCTCAGCAGACATCTTCCCCAACACCCAGGACTCACTGAAAATGGTATGGAAGTGCCAAACTGCAGGAATAATCAATGCCCAGAAGTGCTGCAGTATTTCCAACGGAGCACTGAGCACTGAAGAGCACTATGAGCACCATATGGGACTGAGAGAGGTGAGCCTTTTGGTTTTGCTTAATGCTGAAGCTGGATGAGTGAAGTCCTTTCTGTAGACTGCATCTTGGGTCTTCCACCCAAGGGCCTCACCACAGAGCCACTGTGGCAGGGCTCACCCTTAACATGGTCTGAGATTTGCACCTGAGCTACGTCGTACTTTTACGTACCCCAGAAAATCCACCCTTTGTGATAATGTGGCTTGAATGACTTCCCATGAAGCACTTTTGTAAAAAGAAAAAAGCTTCATGAAGCCACAGAAGTTTTCGTTCGAGCTCCTGAGAAGCTTCTCTGAAGTCTCTGAATTCAGCAGAGAACCTCAAATACAGCAATCTGTCAGATCAGAGGTGCAGTCAAAGCTGCTGATCTGTACTTAATGGCCCACCCTCTGCTCTACAGCCATGCTCATAACAATGCCCTCTTTCTTACAGTCAGCAGGTAGAAGCTTGTTGTGACCCAGAACTCTTCCTGAACTACTATGTAGCATCAACCTATGGTTTGGAAAGGATGCAGAATCAAGAGAACACAGGTAACCAATGCGACGTCTTGGAAGGATGCTGGGACTGACAACCAGGGAGCTCACTTTCAAGCAAAACAAACTGGAATAAAACAAAGGCACTGGCAGACACGTAGAGAGACGTTCAAAAGGGGTGGAGGACTCCAAGTGCTTGGAGGGAGGTCGCTGCTCTTAGACCCAGTGGAATTTGCCAAAGGAGCCATCAAACATGGAAATAAATACGGTCTCACCACAGCATACCGCATCCTTCAAAAAACTTTTGAACTGTTCTCAAAGCTCTTAATGAAAATAAACTGCTATAGGACAAAAGACACATCCTTTAGTGTGTAAGTAAGTAGTTAAAGCAGAGGAAAATCGCAGGAAGAAATGACCTGCCGTCACAAAACAAAGCAGTTGTCTGTAGCTGGCTCTGTGTTTGGAAACTAAAGAGAAATAACAAGTGATGATGACTGCATTGAGAGACACTACAGATTACTCCACACTGGGGCAGTCAAACAGAACTCCACTCCAAAAAGGGCATCAGGATGTTATAGAGATGGCTGGGAAACAACGTGGAAGGTGGAAATAACTGCAGGTGTGTATACAGATTCAAGAAAGTGAACAACTCTGAAACTAAAGCCTCTGGTTTACAAAATACAAAACCAAAAAGTTTGTTAAGTTTGGAGCAGCATTCTGGAAAGAATCGCTTGATGCTCCTTTCTTCTATGCCTTTCCTTAGCACTCCAAGCAGCTCATTACCAGATCATCCCAAGCCTTGTGCTGACGTCGTGCATCTGCTTTTATGCTTTTGTTTGAAGCTCGGGTTCAGTGTAGATGGTGTGCAGCTCTGAATTGATTCTGCAGGCACTGGAAGGAGCTTTCCGAAGATATGAGCACACTTCTTAGCAATGCAATTTCACTTTTGGTTGTAAGATATCAGAAAAGATGGGAGAACAATTGAATTGAGAATGGACCACCTCAAATGAAAAAGCCAGGATTTTCATTTCAGAGGTTTGCACTACAGCAAACAGAAGCTGTTCTCAGTACATTTCATTTGAGCATCTCTGCAGTAGAATCCCCACTGCCAATGTCCTGTGTATGGATCAGCCATCTGGAGTGGAGCCTTTACTAAGAGTGATTTGCCAAGATAAAACTGACAGCTGAGCTGTGTAAAATAAAATAAATAGCTGCAGAGGAGGCAGAAGAAAGCCAGCATCAACTGCTGAATGAAAGAAAAGCACTGTTAAGGAGAAGGCATGCCCTGCTGTGCTCCACTACAGCACCTGGAATGAAGCAGGACATGGTCTGAGCTGTCCTTTAAGGTTGGGAACACAAGGACATACTGCAGCTGGCACAGTATGAAGAGATACAGAAGTCAAAGCTTCAATTAGTGCTCGTTTAGGTGACGGTGCACACAGCTCCACAAGCTTAGACCTGGGGAGTCACTCACCAAGCTCCATCCAAATGCCCTCCAGTGCCAAACCAGGATGACCTCCTGCACTGCCTGCTGCTGGCAGTGCCTGTTCCAGCAGAAGGGGCACAAAGCACCCCTAATATGGATGCTGTCCCCTTGGAGCAGCTGCCAAAGGCCAGGACTTCCCACCCGCATTCTACCACCCCTCTTCACTCAAGAGCACAACACGAGGTTAGGCATGCTCGTAACAAACAGTTCTCAGCAAATCAGCCATTAATAACCACAATGCAAATATCCTACCCAAAACTGAATGTGGCGAATCTCAAGGTTTCATTCTAGAATGGACAAAAAAAAAGGATAATGCTTCAAGTAGCAAGAAGGTGAGGACCTCAGGGTTGACTCCACAAGCAGGTCAAGAAGAACACTCCAGAAACGGATGGGATGTAAGTGGTACAGGAAAGTCTCCTTTTGCCACTGGCTTACCTGAGTTATTTCTGTCCTCAACATATCTGAGGTCATCAGCTGCATCAGGAGACTGGAAAGAAGAAGACATGAGCATTTACGTCTGTAACACCAGTGCCAGGTAATTTCCCTCTCAAGCCTATGACAAACTGCAAGAACACCTTTTGCCTCAAAGGCTCTGGTGGTGCAGCAGCCAGGGCATGGCCCTCACATTCAGGCTTTCTGCTGCAATCAAGCAGCCTGTTGTCTGAACTGTGAGGTGAGAGCTGTGTCTGCCCACCACAGCTCTCTTATTATTCGTCTGGGGAGAGAGGAGGGGACAGTAAGTGACAGGAAAGGCAAAAAGCAGGAAGGCTGTTAAAGAGGAGCAGAAACACGGGAGGGGACCGACGACACAGGACAGTGATGTTTCCTTGAGTGTCCTGGAGCCAGCTCTGCACCTGTGCTGCTCTCAGGCCTGGCTTCTTAGGCAAAATCAGTGGGATTTTTATCTTCATTTAATTACGTAAGGAAGCATAGAAGCATTAAGGTTGGAAGAAGCCTAATAGATCACCAAGCCCAACCCAACCCATCCCCACCATGCCCACTAACCACGTCCACAGGAGCCACATCTCCACGGCTCCTGAACACCCCACAACTTCTGCCACCAGGGCACCCGCCTCAAGCATCAGTGGGCCTACGCTGCCTCTAGTGTTAGTTTTATCTGCAGTGTATTTGATGAAGCCCTTTCTGTTGTCCTTGACCCCTCTTGCAAGGTTAACCTTACAGCCTTCATGGAAGGAGGACGACTCTAGCAACCAACCACAGGTAGTTCAGCAGATCAGAGCAACGCCACCATGTGAGAACCATGACTTTGGTCACGGGCCAAAACTTGAGATGGTCTGAAAGTCAGCACTCAATCACAGAATCAAAGGGGTAGGAAAGGATCTCAAGAGATCACTGAATCCAATCCCCCTGCCCAAGCAGTTCCGTACAACAGGTCGCACAGGTGGGCGTCCAGTTGGGTCTTGAATATCTCTCTGGTGGAGACCCAACTTCTCTGGGCAGCACTCCATCACCCTTACTGCAAAAAAGTTCTTCCGTGTGTTAGCACAGAACTGCCTGTGTCCAGCTATTAGGCTGTCACTCCTTTCCTATTGCTGCACACCACTGAGAAGGGCCCAGCCTCATCCACCTGCCTCCCACGCCCCTGTAGAAATTTATAAGCATTTATCAGATCCCCTCTCAGTCTTCTTTTCCCCAGGCTGAACAGCCCCAGGTTACTCGGCCTTTCCTCATACACGAGATGCTCCAGGCCCTTTATCATCTCTGTGCCCCTCTGCTGGGCTCCTTCTAGGAGATCCTTGTCTTTTTGCAACTGGGGAGCCCAGGGCTGGATACAGGGTTCTAAATGTGGCCTCACCAGGGCAGAGTAAAGGGGGAGGAACATCTCCCTCGACCTGCTGGCCACGCTCTTTTTAATGCACCCCAGGATCCCATTGACCTTCTTGGCCAGCAGGGCACACTGCTGGCTCATGGCCGACCTGTCGTCCACCAGGACCCCCAGGTCCTTCTCTGCAGAGCTCCCCTCCAGCAGCTCAAGTCCCAACCTCTGCTGATACCTGCGGTTATTCCTTCCCAGGTGCAAGACTCAACATTTGCTCTTGTGAAACCTCATCAGGTTCATCCCTGCTCAACTCTCCAGTCTGTCGAGGTCTGGTGGAATGGTAGCACAGCCTTCAGGTGTGTTCAGCCACTCCTCCCAGCTTCGCATCATCAGCAAACACGCTGAGGGTGGACTCTATCCCTTCACCCAGGTTGTCAATGATGATGTTGAACAAGACTAGACCCAGCACCGAACCTTGGGGAACACTGCTAGTTACAGGCATCCAACCAGAGAGCAGTTCAGCAATCATCGCTGCCAGTTCTCTCAGCACACGTGGGTGCATCCCGTTGGGGCCCGTGGATGTGCGTTGATTTTGGCTACGTGCTCCCTAACCAGACCCACCTCAACCAACGGAAAGCCTTCCTTTCCCCAGACACTCTCTCTTACCTCCAGGGTTTGGGATTCCCAAGGGTTAGACTTAGCATTACACACCGAAGCAAAGCAGGCATTCAGAATCTCTGCCTTCTCAGCATCCCCTGTTACCAAGGCACCCACTTCATTCAGTAGGGGACCCACATTTTCCCTAGTCTTCCTTTTACTGTTGACATACTTTAAAAAACCTCTTATTTTGTTGTCCTTTACCTCCTTTGCAAGGTTTAATTCCCAGAAGGTCTTTGCCTTTCTCACTGCATCCACAGAGGCCCTGACAACATTCCTATAGTCTTCCCAGGTGGGCAGGACCTTTTTCCACAAATGTGGAAATATGGACTTTCTTATTTTCTTTCTGTTCATCCAGGAGTTCCTTGCTCATCCGCACAGGATGATAAACTTGGGGACTGGTATCAATGTCCCAAGCCCTATTTATTTTGCTCTTACAGAAAATTTAGTCTATCTGCACACAGTGCTTCAAGGACAGAGAAGTCAAAGCGCTCTGCATTTGTTCATCTATTAATCCAAATTTGTACTTATTACTCACCCTAAGCTTAGCCCTTCAGAACTACGCACATGTTTCAGAAGAGCTCAGTGTTCATTTTAATAATGCCATATGATCTTTTTACTTCATGATTATCCTAACATCTACAGCAGAGCTAAAACTTAGAAAGCTGTCAGCACAGCTGCTTCTGGGGCAGGCTGCTGGATAATTCCGCCCTGAAGTTAACACCAGCTCCCATTTGCAATTAGTTGGCAACCTTTTCTCCTTCCCTTTTAGTTCTCATCTTTCGCTTGAAAATATTTCAGGATCAGTTAAGGTGAAAATGTGATTGCTTTGTATTTGCAAAGGCTTTGCCATCGCTTTTAAAACCATCTGGACCAACTTCTTAACACCTGACTGACGCCTCCAGTGGCTCCTCAGTACAGCATGGCCAGCTGTCATTGCCCCATACATGGGGGGCACCCTGAAGAGCTCTTCCTCACGCCATTCAGCCTCTGCTCTGAGGGTCGTCACATCATATGCAGCACTTCCACTAAATCAAGCCCTGACCGATCCGACAGCAGGCAGAAATTCAGCATGCAGTGAATACCTGGATTTCGTAAACAGGTTTGGAGGAAGGAATAGCAGCAAATTCCCGGTAGTCAAACTTCTTTTCAGACATGGACTAGAAGGGACAGTAAATGAGAAGAGAGAGAAAAGAGAGAGTGAGGAGAGAGGAGTGGATGGACACACAACAGCACCCTGAGTGATCTATGGAGAGTTAGCAGCAAAGCATCATTCACAGTTAGTGTCAACGGTGTCTGGATCCAGCCTCTGGGAAAGAAGGCATCTCAGGGACACTGGGACTCTGCATTTTGTCTGTCCTGCTCTCAGGGTAGGTGCTCCAAGCTGCATAGAAAACTCGACGTGCTCCAGTGAGCTGCACATCTGCACTAGCTTAGCTAAGAACCCTCTCTGTATGGAAAAAAATCAGCAGCAAGATTCCTGACAGCTCCAGCACAGCTGACACTGAATTCAGAGCTGGTGTGCGACTTTGGGCAGAACCAGGTCCCACATTCTGTTGTACCAATTTTGACAGTTCTCTGCAACGACGTCCTGCTGTATTTATACAGCACTTAGAAAAGGTAAGATGCTGATTTCAGCTCAAGTTTTTGGTTTCACGTTACGGAGAAGAGAATAAAACAGAGAAGGGGAAAACAGACATTGCTGCCTATTTGTACAAAGGGGATGTCTCTAGCAAAGGGCATGGCAGAGCTCCAGCCACACTGCCCTCTTCACAACTCTGCCTCAGGCTGAGTATTTAAATAGGGACCTCGTAGCCCAGATGCACGATCCACACCCAAGGTGAGTAACGGAGAAATCCCAAGCTTACAGAGAGAACAGAAGCAAGCAGAACGTGTCATACCAGCCTTCCTGGTGAAGTGACGTTCCTGGGACTGCAATCTGCAAAAGATGACACAAAAACACTGTTCACTGAACGTCTGTATTACATGCAACACACACACGCCTGCCCCTTCCATTCAGCAGTTATTTAAGTCTGATAAAAGACCAGACTCACAACAGACACTCTCAAAACAAATGCCTCTTTTTTTTTTCTTTTTTTCTCTTTTCTCTTCAACTCTGCTCTTGTTTCCCACAACCATGTTTTGGTATCTCGAGTTTTCTGTTTGTTAGAAACATCTCCTGTGCTCAGAGATGTCATGTGCTCAAGCAGGTCCTTCCAGCCTCAGCTGAATGAATAAACTGCATCCTGCCAATCTTCTTTCAAGCCAATTAATCTGGAGAAGCATTAACTCTTCCTCAGAAGCTGCTGTACAGTACCTTCCAGTGGTGTTGGTGATGGGGTAGGAACGGGTGAAGGTGACTCTGTCACCTGCTCCAGAGTGCTGCGCTTCTTTCCCTCCTTGGACTTGGCAATGACCATTTGGGCTTTAAGAGCATCCTGTTCAAGGGATTTCATCCTGTCTCAGAAAGGAGGAGGAACGGAAGGAGAAAAAGACATCAGACATTGCTTTCTCTATAAGAGATGAATGCCGTCTTCTGTGCCCAGCAGCTGAACCACAGTCAACAAGCTGAGTGCAGAAAGGCCAGACGAACCCTCGGTTCCCCGCAGCAGACAGACTTTCAGAGCAGGAGAGAACAGCTCAGTTTGCTGTCATCAGACGTTACCGTCCTGAAATGCACACGTTGTCACGTGTGCTGAACAGAGCCTGGAGCTCAGCATCAACCCATGAGATGCTGGAGGCCTTCCCAGAGGCGCCGTGTGTGACAGAGAGCAATCCAAATTGAGGAACGTGAAGGGGAACTGCCAGGGCTCAATGTCTAGGTGAGCTTTCAGGGCTTTACTCTCCTGTGTTCTCAAGTGTGCCACACTTCATCCCTCTGCTGCCACTGGGACATTATAAATCACCTCTGAAAAAGGGGGTTCAGCCCTCACAAACGCCGGCTCCCACCCAACCAGACAGACCCAGCGTCCACCCATCATCCCCACTGACTGCCAGTAGTCTGTGGTACCTCAGGGAAATGAACTCCAGCACCACCGAATCCTCCCTAGCCCTACAAGGACGCAGCTGGGAGCACGGTGTTAGGATGGGGGACACAGACAGGACGGAGCATGCAGCTGGCAGGGATGGGGCTGTGCACACCTGGATTGGTTTCCTGACCCAGGGGTTCTCGAGGCGTGACTCTGCACTGGACTAGGCATCTGAGCTGGCCTGGCCCCGGGAGCAGGAGCCCATTGCCGGGACTGGTACAGCTTCCTGGCCAGATCCTGCTCGTACTGTTTAATACTGTCTTCAAGAGTTGAGGATCTGAGGAGGAGGAGGAGGAGGAGGAGGAAGAGAGGAAGAGGAAAAGGAGAAGGAAGAGGAGATGATGGTAATGAACATTACAGTGGACAAATACAGGGAGAGAAAGAAACAGATACAGGAACATACCCTGGCAAGGAGAAATGTATGTCTGAAAAGGGAGCAGCCATGGTTACAACAGGCTCCTACACCTCATCCTTCCCAGCACCAACTGCTGCAGAAGAGGGCAACCTGGGATGATGTGCCCAGAAGTGCTTGCTTCAGAGACTACATGTCTAGAGAACGCCCTCCTCACGTGCTGGGAGGACTGGAAACATCAGCAGATCAGTGCAAAAGGCTCAGCAGTGGCTGCAAAGAAGTTTGTGTGTGTGTGTGTGTGTAAAGCTGACTGATGGAGTACAGGGCATGAGCACACGTGCGTGCACGCACACTTCATCACCTCCATGTACACTGCATGCTCATACATATCTGACCATCTGTCAGCATTTACTTTTGTTTGACCATTGTAAAACAGGATAACTGAGTTGGAAGGAACCCATGGCAAGCACTGAGTCCAGCTCCCGACTCCACAAAGGGCAAGGTGAGTGTTAAACCACAACTCTAAGAGCACTGTCCAAATGCTTCTTCAGCACTACTGACAGGTTTGGAACCACGACCACCAGCCTGGGGAGCCTGTTCCAAGCCCACATTCTGGTGCAGAATCTTTCCCTCACCCCCAGCCTGACCCTCCTGACACAGCTCTGTGCCGTTTCTTTGGGCCCTGTTGCTGTCACCAAACAGCAGAGATCATAAGTTGGCTGTGGGCTGCCACGAACAAGCTGCAGGCTGCCATGAAGCCTCCCCTCTGTCTTCTCTAAGCTGAACAAACTGTGGCTGCTCCTCATACATATCACAGAGTCATAGAATGGCTCAGGTTGGAGGGGACCTTAAAGATCATCTAATTCCAACCCCCTGCCTTGGGGACAGTTGCCAATCACTACATCAAGCTGTACAAGGCCACATCCAACCTGGCCTTGAATGCCTCCCAAGATGGGGCATCCACAACTTCTCTGAGCATCCTGTTCCAGTACCTCACCACCCTCTGAGTAAAAGATTTCTTCCTAACATCTGAACTGGATTTCCCATCTTTTAGCTTAAAGCCATTTCCCCTTATCTTGTCACTATCAGATGGTGTAAAAAGTTGATCCCCCTTCTGCTTCTGAGCTCCCTTCAAATATTGGAAGGCTGCAATGAGGTCTCTCTGGAGCCTTCTCTTCTCCAAGATAAACAAGCCCAGCTCCCTTCACCTTTCCTCACAGGGGTGTGCTCCAGCCCTTTGATCATCTTTATGGCCCTCCTCTGGATGCACTCCAATATTTCCCTCTCTGGTCCTTTAACCAACTTTGTTGGTTGTCCTCCTTTGGGCACATTCTCTTATTTTCATATCCTTCTAATACTGCGGAGCTCACGTATGCTAGGCAAAGTGAAGCCACACCAATGCAAAATGAGCAAGCACATTGTGAAGGGTCTGTTTGGCACAGGCCCCAGAACACATGCAATCTCAGAGCTGAGTGCATCCACAAAGGAGCGCATTGGAAAAACCAGCAGGGCGCATGTTGGCCTCAGCAGGCTGCTGCTCCTTCTCAATGTGTGCCTTTACCCCCTCAGCCACAGCTTTCCTGGGGCACAAACGTCAGCATCTGTGTGTGCTGAGATCACCTATGGAGGATGGGTCCCCGTGTGTCTCCCCAGCAGAGGAAGAGGAGTGGGTGCGTGGTGGTGGGGGGGCACCGCATGTCCTGGCAGGGCACTGATGACACAGGGAGAAAAGGGAAAGCCCAAGGTGGTGTGAGTTGATGGGGTCACAAGTGACAGCACACAGACCAGAGAACTGGAAAGAAGCAGAAGATAGAAGATTAGAAAGAAAGTAATAAAATCATGCACTTAAAGAAAATACACGTTAGTGAGGCAATCCTCCCCACACAGCACGTGTGGGGCTGCACGGGGAAACAAGACGCGAGCCTTGGCTGCCACCACGTCACCACTCTGCAGCAGTGATAGGAGATGGCTCACATCAGTGAGATCTGTGGCGGTAGGGACAGTCTGTCCTTGGACTGGAGGAGCTCACTGTGCTGATGATCCCTGCCACTGTCAATAAGTCAGGCCTTAACACCACCCAAGGAACAGCCAGACGCTTCTTGGAGAGGAAAAATACACCTTGCTATCAGCAGCAAAATGAAGCTGAGAAGCTGCTCTGCAGAACTCATAAACTGAACACTGAATCTGACAGAAGCTGCACTGGACATGCTAATATTCAGGCTTATGAAAGATCAAACCTGACAGACCCTGCCCCATCAGAGAAAGATACACAGGAATGGTAGGCATGAGGGAGAGAACATCCTGGTGTTCTGCTTGGAAAGGGACGGCAGATCAATCCCCACCACTTCTCAAAGCACAGTGATGTTGAACTTCAGGTGGGGAAGCACAGCAGCCAACTTCTCTTCTGTTGGACCAAATGCAACAGTGGAGGTTGGCGTGGTCGTTTTTTAGTTTGTTTTTTTAAGACACCAACTCTACAGAGTTTGCCTTCTCCAAATGTGTCTGTGGTACTCAAACAGCGTCCTATTCATGTGCAGTATTTCATGTATTTAACACCCCCAGCCTTCCTGTGAGACAGACTCGCTATTACAGTCCTCTCGCAGTGCAGAGACTCAGAGATCTGACCAAGTTCATAAGGAACCACGTGCCAGAGCCAGAATCTGGGATCAGTCCCAGCCCAACCTCTCCCAATAGTCTGTAAGCACACATTCGTTGCCCAGAGATGTGGTGGATGCCCCATCCCTGGGGACTTTCAAGGAGAGGCTGGATCAGGCCCTGGGCATCCTGATGTCACTGTGCACGTTCCTGTTCACTGCAGGGGAGTTGGACCAGATGGCCTTTAAAGGTCCCTTTCAACTCTAAGGATTCCATGGTTTAGGACTCTTTAATTGGTTCTGTGACACCCATCCAGCTTCTGGTCTTGTAATCAAAGGCCAGTGCCTCTATTACAGCAAGTATTGCTGTCAAACACTCTTCCTTACACACGTACTGTTTTTGGAAAAGGGTTATTCCTGGATTAATGTGAAAACACAGGACTTTCATTTGCAAATGATGCCTCCTGAAAAGCTGTGACACAGCAACCACAGGAATAACATCAACTGGAGCAGGAGTGTGATGCCATAGACTGCAGAACATTCAGCAAGTCAGAGAAGCAGACAGAATCTCACCGTGTCTGAATCAACAGCCCATAGAGGAAACAATTCTGTCACACCACACTGTGGTCACTGTACGTAGGCAACCCCATTTCTGGGGTGCAGGCAAAGGAGAGATTGCTGAGTGCAAATTCCCCCAGGTTGGAAAGGACCTCTGGAGGTCACCTAAAACCACTCCAAGCAGCGCCAGCTTCAAAGGTGTAACAAGGATGCTACGAGATAACAGAAATCACTCTTCCAAATGAAGAGTGATTCTAACTGGCAAGCTTTTCAGTGAGCTGATCAGCCTTCTGACACTGCAGAGCACTGCACTGGAATTAAGGTAGTGCTTCATTAAAAAAAAAGCAACAGCTGAGAAAGACCAGGTAAAGGGATCATCCACAGCAATGGAGCTGGAGCATGCCAAGAAAGTGTTCTTCTAAAGGGGAAGAGTCTCAGTAACTGCAAACGTTAGCTCAGCACAGCTCTAAATAAGCACAATCAAAGCCACAAGCAGATCTGTCCTATGATGAAGTGACAGTGGAACGCTGAGCCCTCTGCAAAGCTCCAGGTGAGCCGTCATCACTGTGAACTCCACCCAAAGATTTCTTCATCCCCAGAGCCTCTCCAGAGGGATGTGGCACCATTAGGATCCACATCTCACCTCAAACATGAAGCTTTTGGGTTGTATCACCTCACACCAATCCCTCCAGCATCCAACTGAGCCGTCTGGCAAAGGCGAGTCATTAGCTCTGCTGTTCTTCTAAAGCCTCCCATTCAACCTCCCCAGAAAGAGCATTTCAGATTTATTTTGAGTCCCGGAATGCTCTTGTAGCAGACAGGAAAGCTGTAATCAGTTATAGCAGCAGCTCGACTAATTCTTTAAAGGAATTACATTACACAGCAAGGGCCTGGACCGACTTCCAATCTAAAGCTCTGAAGCTCTCTTTCAAAACAGATGCTGATTCACTCTGTCGTAGCTCACGATACAACCTGTGTGGATAAAAATTCCCTCATCTTGCTCAGTTTTTGACTTCAGCAAACCTAGCAGCCTAGCAACACTGACTCTATGAACTGTTCTTGCTGTTTTTCGTTTTGGATACGTCAGCCTGCAGCTTGGGGAAATGTGATCTTTCTCATGTTACAGAAGAGATAGGGAATGACATGCTGGAAGGCAAGAGATGCATTCGCTGTCACACACAGACATCAGAATTGTTGGTTTTTTTAAATAAAACTCCACTATCTTCAGGTCTGTGCAGACACAGTTGGAATATGGGACTTCTCACTCACATAGCTGGTCAGAAGCAGATGAGTTCAGCCAAGCAGCGGATGCTCTGCACTGTTTGAATGGAAGAAATGTGCAACTACAACCTCTGCAAACATATGGCATGAGGGAAGTTTTTCTGTTCCCCACCTGAACACCCCGGATTCTTCCCTGAACTGGCCTAGAAAAGAAAACGATGAAGCTCCTTCTGTCTCACCGTGCTGCCCTCCACATCGCTCGCTTCTCTGCCTCCAGAGCACGACGTTCTGCTGGAGAAAGTTCCTTCTCTTGGCTGCTCAGGAGCTCAGGACTCTGCATTCGCAACCTCTCCTGGTGCCGCCGCTCCGCTTTGGCTGTGCGCACCGGGGCCAACGCATCCCCTGCTGCAAGACTTAATGGACTCAACCTGGGCAGAGAGAGAAGCAGTGAGAAACAGGCAGCCCTCATCCACTTCGATACTGCCTGCTCTTCTCAAGGCGATGGTAAGGTGATGACCAACACCCTCAGACGCTGTTCTGCACCACCCCCAAATCCAAGGACATCATTTTGAAGGATAGAAGAAGAACACAAACACAGAGGTAAGTTTCTGCTAAGGTTTGTTTTTTTTCCCCAATTACAGTTTCATCTTCTCCACAAGATTTTTCCTTTTACACTCCGTATTTGCTAAAAAGTAGGAGTCCCTTGTTCCATCACCTGGCAGTTTCAAGGCAAAGCACACTGCTCATCCCCTTACCCAGACATGGAGTTCGTTCTCTGTTCAGGCTTCATTCCTTCTTCCAGTGAATTCCTCTGTGAGCTGTTGTTCTCATTCACCTCTGAGGTCCTAAACCAGACGAGCACATCAGCCAGCAGTGCCACAGGCTGGTTCAGAATAGATGCACACCCCAGAACACAACACAGACCCGTTCGAAGACACAACCTAGAATGTTTTTGCTCAACATCTTTTTTTCTCCATTACTGCAAGCATTTCCTTGTTGATTTCATAATAGTTTATGCTCTCCAGCTCCCTTTACATGATTTACAGCCTGGCTGCTCCCAGCCTTTTCCTCTGCTGATGTTGGATATGCATGAACGTTAACAAAGGCTGATCCTCCTCAGCTGTAAATGAATGCATGTTTGGGGTAGGGACAAATCCTGACAAATTCTCTACACAGACATTCTACATGCAACTGCTTGACAAACTGAAGTCGTGTGCTCAATGACCAAACCACTGCACATCGCATCAGCTGACAGCAAGCCAAACAACCCTGCTTTCCACAGATGAAGCTGTCCCCAGCTACTGTGCCTTAGCTGGCAGTCAGAAAGCTCATGAATTTGAGCTTTCCTTTTTAGTACACAGGTTTACTTTGCTTAAATTCCAGTCTCAGCATGAAAAAATATTCCAAAATGCACAAATTCAGCCTATTCTACTGCATCTCCTTTGTCCAAGCATAAATAATAAGTAACTGCAAGTCTTCTATCTGCAGCTGTCCTTGCACAGATAAGAACTGGGAGCTGAAAGCTGGACTCATCCTCAGAGCTTTCCATTGCTAAATTCGCCGTAGGCTGAGCAAAGTAACCTGATGGAATCAGCCTTGCTGTTCCATAAATTCCCACATTTCAGTATGAAAAGAAGAAGGGATAAGCAGGGCTTCCCATCGAGTCTAGCAGTTGGTTTGCACTCATTTGCTGCCCTTCCTCAGAGCTGCCCACTGACGGGCCAAGGTCAGCACAGAAGGTGGGAGGTCTCTGTGCATTCATTGTGTAAGCACATCATCCACAGAAACTGGCCAGAAATCATTGAGAGAAACGAGACTGAAAACAACAGCATGAATGTTTTCAGTGTCTCAGCCTGACAAAAGAAGTACCAAAGGCTGAGGAGAATCAGATAAGTCCAAAGGCGGATGCTGTAGTTTTATTCGAGTGCAGCCTTACTTTTATTTGAAGTTTTATGAGAAATCTTTTCTCATTCCCCAGCTCTGTGCTCAAGAATGAGAAAAACACCAGAGCATTCTGGAGAACAAATGCAGGAAAAAAATACTACAAGAGCAAAGCTAGGTTCAGCACCAGGGCTGTTCCTGAGCTGGCTATCTCCAAAACTCAATGGCTTTATGCACCCGAGCATGGAGCTGAAGGAAGCGTTCTTCTGAAAAGAACACTTGAAAACAGGACTGCACATGGCACGCTTTTACATCCAAGAGAAAGTAATGTTCAGCCTTCTTCCCCAACAACCACTGATGCTGAGACACTCTGACACACAGGGGTGGCACTGAGATGCTGCTCCATAGTCTTACCGAGTTGCTGGAGCCTGGCTGCTCCTTCCATTCAGCCTCTCAATCTTGTATTCAACTCCTTCAATGATGACAGTGGACTGCATGCTCATCTCAGGCACTTGTTTTATCATCTCGTCCTCTTCCACTTCTTCCTCCAACAGAAGGCTACGTTTCTGCTGCAGTTTTCGAGCTGCCAAAACAAGACGGACTCATCTTACACCACATTAAACTCCACTAAATCTCACAGGGATGCAGACTCTGGGCAGGACCTTACACTCAACATCACTGCAGCTTTGTGTTGCTTTAAGCCTACCCTCTTCTCGACAAGCATTTGTTTCTCCTCCACTCCTCCAATGCTTCAGGTGTAGAAGACCCTCCCCAGGGGTCAGTGCTGGGCCTGTCCTCTTCAATATCTCTATTGATGACCTTGATGAGGGCATCGAGTGCACCCTCAGCAAATTCGCAGATGACACCAAATGGGCTGGAAGTGTGGATCTGCCTGGGGGTAG